GTTAGAGATAGCATTAGGGTTTGATTTAAAATTAGGATTAGCATTTAGCATTAAGGTTAGAGATTAAAGTTAGTGTTAGTATCAGGCTTAGAATTAGGGTTATGGTTAGGGTTTAGGGTAGGATAGGTTATGGCCACCGTTAAGATTAAGGTTGGTGTTAGAGATATGTTTAGGATTAAGATTAAAGTAAGGTTTTCATTTAATTTCAGGATTTTTTTTTTTTTTTTTTATAGTTAGGGTGAGGTTATGGTTAGATTTAAATTTAGAGTGAGGTTGAATTAGGGTTAGGGGTTGACTGAGGTTTAAGTTTAGAGTTATGGTTAGAAATACAGATTAGGATTTAATGTTAATGTTATGGTTAGAGTTACAGTTGAGTTTAAGGTTAGGGTTGGAGTTAGGTTTATGGTTGTCATTGGTGTTTAGAGATAGGTTTAGGGTTAAGGCCAGGGTCATGGTTAAGTTTAGGTTTAGGGGTTATAATTAGTGGTAGGGTTAGGCTTTCTGTTATGTTTAGGTTTAGGGTAAAGGTAAAGATAAGGTTTAGGGCTAGGTTCGTTTATGGTTTCTGTTAAAGTTAGTTATGATTTGGGTTAAAATTAATTGTTTAGAGATATTTTAGGGTTTAGGGTTAGGGTTAGTGTTAAATTTTGTGTTAAGAATGGGACAAGGGTTAGGGTAACAAGGTTTAGGGTTAGAGTTTAGTTTTATGGTTACAGTGATGCTTAGGTTTTAGTTTAATTTTGGGGTTAGGTTTAGGATTATGGTTATGTTTAGGATTAGTGTTATGTTTAGGTTTAGGGTAAAGGTGAGAGTTACATTTAGGTTTTGGTTTATCATTAGGTTTAGAGTTAGGGTTAGGGATAGAGTTAAATTTAGGTTAAGTTTCAGATTATAGTTAAGGTTAGGGTTGTGTTTAGTTTTAGAGTTAGGATTATTATTAGGGTTAGGTATAAAATTAAGGTTAGTTAGGTTCAGGGTTATAGGTGAGTTTTAGGATTAATTTTTAGGGTTAAGGTTAGAGTTAAGATTAACATTAGATTTATTGTTAGTTTTAGGCTAAGAGTTGGAGTTAGGGTTAGTGTTAGTTGTAGGGTAGGTGATAATGTTAGTATTTAGTTTAGGATAAGAGTTAGGGGGGCAGTTAGGTTTAGGTTAGGTTAGAATTAGGGATATGTGTAGGATTAGGGTTAGGATTAGGGTTATCTTTAGGGTTAAGATTAAAGTTTGTGTTAGGATTGGTTTTAGGGTTAGGATTAAGTTTACAGTTAGGATTAGGTTTAGGATTTAATTTAGGGTTAGTTTAGATAAAAGTTAGGTTTAGGGTTTGGATTAAGATTTGATTTAGGTTTAGGTTTAAGGTTTAAGTTTAAGTTTCAGGTTAGGGTTAGGTTTGGGGTTTAGTTTAGGTTTTAGGTTAGGGTAATTTAGAGTTATGTTTAGGGTCAAGGTTAAGACTAGGGTTAGTTTAGAGTTAGATGTATTATGTTAGGGTTAGGGTTAATGTTAGGGTTAAGCTTAGCCTTTGGGTTAGGTCTAGTTTTAGGGCATGTTAAGGTTATGTTTAGGGTTAGAATTAAAATTGGGGTTAGGTTTAGGGTTAAGATTAGGTTTAGGGTTAGATTTAGAGTTAAGGATAGGGTTAAGTTAGTGTTAGGTTTAGGTTTAAATTTAGGGTTAAGTTTAATGTTTGGTTTAGATTTAGGATTAGGTTTTGATTAAAGTTAGAGTAATGGTTAGTATTAGGGGTAAGGTTAATGTTAGTGTTTTATTTAAGTTTAGGTTAAGACCAGGTTTAGGGTTTTGGTTAAGATTAGGGTTGTGGTTAAATTTTAGGTTAAATTTAGGGCTAGGTAAAGGTTAGGGTTAGGTTCATGGTTAAAGCTAGGTTTAAGTTTAGGGTTTGGTTTGGGGCTTGAGGTAGTGCTATGGTGAGGGTTTGGGTTAGCATTGTTTAAGTATAGGTTTAGGTGCATTGTTGGGGTTAGAATTAGAGCTAAATTTAATGTTAGGGATAGAAGTAGATTTAGGTTTAGGTTTATGTAAAGGTTAGGGTTAGGGTTAAGGTTGGGGTTAGGGTTAGGGATGCTTTTGGTTTAGGGTTAGAATTAGGTTTAGGTTTAAGATCAGGGTAAAGATTATAGTTAGGCTTAGGGTTAAAGTTAAGGTTAAGGTTCAGATTTAGGGTTAGGGTTTGGTGTTAGGATTAGTGTTGGCGTTAAAGTTATGTTTTGGATTATGTTACGGTTAGAGTTAGGTTTGTGGTTAGGATTTTAGTTAGGATTAGGGTCAGTTTTAGTATTAGGGTTAGGTTTGGGTTTAGTGTTAGAGTTAGGATTTGGCTTAAGTTTAGGGTTAGATTTAGGGTTAGGTTAAATAATTGGTTAGGTTTAGATTTAAGGTTAAAGTTATGGTTAGGATTTAGGGTTAGGGGTTTGTGGTAGGGGTATTGTTAAATAGGTTAACGTTATGTTTAGAATTTTATGGTTAGGGTTAGAATCAGAGTTTGGGTCAGGGTTAGGGTTAGCTTTAAATTTCAGTTTAGGGTTACAGTTTGGGTTAAGTTTAAGTTAGTTAGGGTAAGGGTTAGGTTTAGGTTTAGGGCTATGTTAAATTTAAAGATACAAATAGGTTTGAAGTTCAGGTTAATATTAGGTGTAGAGTGATATTTGGGGTTAGGTTCAAGATTAGGATTAATTTTAGGGTTATGTTTACATGTCGAATATTGGTGAGGATGTGAAGAAATGATCACTCATACATTGCTAGTGGGAAGGTAAAGTTTTATAGCTGCTCTAGAAAAGTTTGGCAGTTTCTTATAATGATATGGCAAATTTAAATTGGAATCTTCATATGTTCATTTCCTAAATAATATAGATATCTGTACAAATGTAACCATTTTATTTTAATAAGCCAAATTTATAGTAAAGGGAGAAAGACAGCAGAAATAAAATAATAATTTCAGAAATTCTTGTTCTGTAGTTTCCTGCCTCTATTGTTCCCACTCCCAAGATCATTCCTTTATTCCTCTAGGTTCAAGGTCTCCATGGGAATATGGTGACAATATAGCCAGCGACTAATAATAAATGCTGGTGCCAAAATATTTATGGCCCTGAGGCTTCAAAACCTTTAAAAAAAATGTGATTCTGGACCACCTATTTGATGACTTTGGATTTACTCATTTTAACTGATTTGAACCAGATGACCTGGCTTTGTAATGAAAGATGATTCTAAAACCAGATAGGTCTAGGATGTGTTTTGGACTTTTAATTCTAATTCAGAAACATGGTCTAAATTTCTCAAAGGGATTCAGAATCCTTTGGGGGTAGATTCAGGCCTTCTAGGGCTATCTTTGGGATGACTCTAGAATCACTTAAAGTTGAAGAGCCCCAGGGTCCAGCTAAGTCTCCTCTCAAAGAATTTTAAAATTCTTACCAAACTCCTGGGTTAGATTACTTTTAATTAAAGACTTGTCCCCAGTATAAGTCCCATGCAGAAGGGGCTATTTCTTAAGTTTCTTCCCTCTAACAAGCCAGAGTGTCGGACTTTCTGAAGATTCAATCTTTTAGTCATCTACATTTAAATACAAAAAAACCTGTGAATAGAAAGACTTCGATTTTACCTGAGAACGTTAATATAACTATGTCTATTTATGAGTGTGTATCTCTACACAAACACACATGTAAATATATAAATATATAAAGAACTTTAAAATTAACAGTTTTAAGATTCTAGCTCTCATAATTAAAGTGGTCCTATTTAATCCAGAAAAAATTTTACTTGCAACAAATATAAGCTGCTCTCTATCAACAAGGGTAAAATGTATGCAAAAAAAGTTGTAGCTGTAAACATAATGTAAAAATTCATCCCACAAATGAAGGCACAGAGTTAAGTTCTGTAGAAGCAGACATGGTTTCTGTTTTCACAAAATGTCCAGTTTGGTGGAGGCTTGAACAGAGGCAGATAAAAGAAACTGGTCATCTGCTTTGTTCAGAAATAAAAAGGAAGCAAAAGGCAGATCAAATCAAAGATGATCTGCAGACTACATCGATCTTATACTGAAGTCATGAACTCACTCAATAAGATCACAGAGGATGCAGGCATGGTGATGAGAACAGGTAGCTAAAAACAGCCGAAGATGATTATAATGAGATTTTTTTTTTTACCTCATTAATCAGGAAAGTAGAAAACCTATTTATTTTAATTTACTACTGCCTCTTTTGATAACTATTTCCTAAGGAAAAATGAGGCAGAAAGAAAATGAGTATGATAGATACTCTACATTCACTGAGTCTTCACTTTTCTTCTAACAGTCTATATCAGTGGTTCTCCACTGGGTGGGGACATGGTGATTTTGTCCCCAGGGGACATGTGGCAATGTCTGGAGACATTTTTGACCATCACAACTCAGGATACTATTGGTAGCTAACAGGTAGTAATCGGGGATGCTGCTAAATTTCCTATAATGCACAGAATAGCACCCGAAAACAATGAATTATTTGTTCCAAAATGTCAATAAAAGTGAGGTTGAGAAACCATGTCATGGTTGGATCTAAAAAAAAAAAAACAGTAAGTCTATAGTATAACAGCAATTGGTACCACTTTAAGAAGGACTGTACAGGAACACTCTCCTCCTTGATAAGATAGCTACAGACTACCTAAACATACCTGATAGATCCATAATGGGAAAATAAAACATGATGAAAAATATTAGTACAGAATTCTTTTTAATTTCAAATATTAGCATACAAATGAAAAATGAATTTGAAAGATGGATGAGACAATTTTTTTGCTTAACTGATTTTGATCATCAACTATTTCTACAACCACAAAAGCAAATGTGGTCACATTTTTGATTTAGGTCAAATCTGACAAAAGATTTACTAAACTGTGTCACTAAAAACGGCCTCAAATATTAAACTAATGAAAGAAAAAATTAGCTACTACTTTTTGAGGAGATGCTCAATTCCAATAAGAGATATTCAAAGTTATTTTCCCACATTATCTAAAAGATCTAAAATCTTTTATTTTGTAGTTTTATGATGAGGAAGAAAAACATGGAAAAGTGATGAACCGACAAACTTTTAGGTATTAATAATATTACAATTCAATATATCTTAATACAAAAAGACAGAATTATATCCTATGAAGTCATACTACTGAGAAGTAGACTCTGTAAGAAATAGTAAAACAACAAAGCAGCTTTCATACAATTTTGGTAAAAAAGCCTTTCATTGGCCATTAAACTTTGTAAAAAGGATATAAAGAAACACAAACACAAAGAATGAAAAGAAAAATAAAGCATTATCTAAATAATAGGATCTGACTTATTACAGTAAACAAAACATTTCAAACAAAAATATTTCCAAATCTTAATTAATGAAGTTAATGTAAATATGGTGCCAAGTGGGTACTATACTGTTCAGGGGATCACTTCGTAAATTATGTAAGTGTCTAACTACAATGATGTACACCTGAAACTAATATAATATTGAACATCAACTATAATTGAAAAATTAAAAAATAATGGAGTTAATGATACCATATATTTTCTATAATGACTCCATAAAAAAATTAATCCTTTTAAGAAGACAAAGTTCAGTAAAATGGAATTGGTACAAATGCAATTCGATCCTTAATTCTATCAAATTTGCTTCTGAAACAGACATAAACCGACAACAACAAAATTCTCTATAACAATCACTTCTTTAATTACATTATTATTTAACGGCTAGCTCTATAATAGTAGGAATTTATGTGATAAAACCTGACCAAGAGCTGAAGAAAATTCATTATTGCAGCCAATCTAAAGGGAACCTAGCCCAAATATAAGGAGGGGCAAATAACATGTGAATAGGTTGGAAGGTGGTCAACTGCTTTAAGGTAATTTCACACCTGGCCTGAAGCTACTCATCCTCTACATCGTTTCTAACAAGAAAGTTTGAGAATGTGGACTGTCTGTGCTCCTCTCAGTAGTGGGTCTCTGGCTCAGTGGCCCTAGGGCATTCATTAATACTCTCCTCTCATCTCTGTCAGCTATCTCTCATAGAGATGAATAGATTGGACAAAAATTAAAAAGATACCCAGAAAAGTAAAATACCCCAATGAAGGCAATTCTTAAATCACTGGTAAATTAGGACACATTCTTCAGATTAAGCTCTGTCAATTAGGCACTTAATAAAAACAAATGACATTTATGCAAGCATCTCAACAACTAAGAAAGATAAGAACAGGAGAAGAAAGACAAGATTTATATTTACTACCTACATTTTGTAAAAAATGGGATGTTATACTTTAGCCAGAAGTTGTTGAATGAAATGGAAAAGAAATTTCCATTTTTGAGAAGGAAATTTCCATATCTGAGAAGGAAAATATAGTATTTTCTTATTCCTTTTTAGTTTCATTAACTAAGGGTTATTTTAGTATTTTTCAATATATAAATAATGCTCAGATTTGGGTTAAACAAGGAAAATTAAGGCAGTGTCTTTAAGCCCAATAAAGGAAAGAAGTGACTAACAAGCCTATCTGAGAAGGACATCAAGCTTATATTTGGCTACAACATTGAACAACTGTGGCTTTAAATACAAAATATTAATGTTTCAAATTTCCACATTTCCTCAGTTAATCTTTCTTTTCAGCTATATGTATTTCAAATGGACCACTTAGTTTTAAATAATTAAAGGAATACTTTTCACATAATTTTGGAACAAAATGTGAATGGTGCTTGACCCAGAACTATTGTTTTGGATAGTACACAATTATGTTCATATGTATCACTGACCCAGTATATAAAAAAAAAGGAAGACCCATAACTGTCAAAATATAGTTGCAAATGGCTAATGTCCTTTGTAATTTGATATAAAACAGACGATACAAGTTTCGAGGTATTGCTGCCTTAAAATGTTACTAAAGTTTGAGTTAAAAAATGAAAGTTTTAAAATTTTGCTTGTTTCAAAAAAGAAATGCTTTTTCTCTCAAGTTGCATACTTCATTTTAAATCTTCTTTTAGCCATCGTCGTAATGGTATCCCTGAGCTTTGTCTCATCTGCGTAGCACATCAACCAGCCACCTATGGTTTCAGCCATTCTATTTAGTGTTATGTCTTGTTATACCAATTCATGGAGCGTTTCACTGCTTTGATCCAGTTTTCCATACTGATTTCATATTCTTGCCATTTCTTCTGTGGCTTGAAAACCATTTCACTTTGCCTCAGTTTCTTTAGTTCCTCCTTGTCAGTCCAAAACCCTATAGATGAAAAAATTATTCTCAAATTTTAAAGCAAACGAGTCCATAAATTTTACCCACAAACCTATATGAAATGGTGCAAAGGTAAACAATTATTATTTTAAAACAGAATCCAAAACATTTTGTTGCTTTGAATTTTGTTAGATTGACTATCCATAAGAATAAATGCACCAGGATTTTAAAATCTTTTGGTTTCTAACTATCAGTTTGATAGGGTAAAAATCATTTCTAGAACAACCATACTCTGTCATCATTTAATTTCATGACTTGCTATTAATAAAAAAAAGAGAATAGTATATTTTCATATAATTAAAAATATAAAGATAAATAAAAATTTTTGTCACGTATCTTGAGGTAAGAGGCAACTCCCTAGGGTATGCATAAAATTCAAAGTTGGAAATTAGTATTATAAATAGTTTCTTTTTCAAAGTATTGCATTTCATATAAGTTACTTAAATTCATACAAGTTACTTATAATAGAGGAAATACTGGAGTTCTGGAATATATTGTTCTTTATAAAGAGGATCATGTTAAAGGGGGTCAAATATACGGTGACAGAAGGTAATTTAACTTTGGGTGGTGAGCACACAATGTAATATACATATGATGTATTATTGGACTGTACACTTGAAGCCTATATGATTTTATTAACCAATGTTACTCCAATAAATTTAATAAATAAAGATTATGTGATTTATAATAATATGCAGCAAGAAAACACATCAATAACTATTATCATAAGTAGTCTGTAATAACAGAAGTGTCTTGTTAATAAACCTGGTACATCTCACCTACTCTGAAGTACTAACATAGTTGACAAGTCTTCGTAAAGTACATTTTCTCTTATGAATAAAGCTGAAACATAACATTCTTTCTTCTATAATTTCCTGTCAGGTTGCACTCTTTCTATTTACAAAGTCACATTTTAGATTCTATATTTAAAGATATTAATTAGTTTACAAAGACTAAAAACAATTTTATTTAGTATACTACAGTTAGATAAATCTAGTCATAAAAATAAATGTTCTTAAAATCCTTATTTCCAGAATTTATTTACACTAGAGCATATATATTTTTAAAAGTAATTTTATTAAATATGTATTGATTAGACCCAGTTTCTGAGGAATTCTGAAAATACAGAGAATGTGCATAGCCTTCAGACTTCAAATTTCTGAAGGAGAAGCAATCCAACCAGAAATCTCAGCTTTTCTGAGTAGGAAAAATTGTTTCCCTCTAGTTAGTGAAGTGTCTTTGCATTGAAATTAATACAGATATAATGATGCAGATAAAACTCAAGCCACTATGCTATGCGTATGAATAATCTGCATGCACTTGTTATTTAGAGCATTTTAAATGTTCAAGAGAATTTGACATATGTGGTCTTATGAGATAAAAAGTGTAGAAGAATTTGATTATCCTTATAAATAATACTAGATTTTTTTTGAGAATTTGATTTACTATAATTTATAAGCATAATTTATCAGTTTGCAAGAGTTGTTCATGTGCTGGAGAAGGATTTCCTTGTTACAGGTCTAAGCCTGCTCAGTTAGGCATGTGATATTATTTCTACAAATCAACTATATTAAATTGTTAAGGGTTGAAATATACAAAGAAATTTAAATTTGTAAATGGGAATGATTATTTAAGGAAAGTTATTTTCTTCAATTTGAATTAATCAAACATTAATCAATGAACAAAAGAAAGTGACTATTAATTTCACTCAAATTTAACAGATTTTTAGTAGAATGAAGTTGAACAACCAAGAGTTCATACTTTTTGGATTTGTAACTCTAGTATGCTAAGTATTAGCCTAAAATGTTTAACTATAAAATATCCTGTTTTGTATAAACACTCTTCCTTTCCCTATAGGAACGCATTAAAATACTCCCAAGGCATCACCTTGCTTCCTCTAGGGCCCCCTAATTGGCCTCCACACTTCTATTCTTTATCCCTCCCAATTAATCCTTTCACTAATTGCCAAAATGATCTGTTCAAATGCAGATTTGTCCATGTCTGCACCTCCCCACCCCCCATGCTTAAAATTCTTCAGTGGCTCTCCAGTGCCTTGACAATCAAGTGCAAGCTCCTCTTTATGAGGAATTAACCACAACTGGACCTCTATATACCTGTCTAGCCTTCCTTCTTGCTCTCATCATATAAGCGCTTATGGCAATGGGCTGATATCTTTGCGGGAGCTCCTTTCTTTGTTGGACAACTCACCTTTTATCCTCTCCTCACCTGGCTGTCTGCTAACCCCTTCAAAACTGAGCTTTATGTTGCCTCCTCTGGGAAGCCTACACCATTTGCTTAAGACTATCACTGTTTAATAATCTGTTGACTTGTCTGACTGCTCCTGAGATTCCCATAGCAGGGATTGTCTTTTAAACTTTTTATTCCCAGCAGAGACTGTCATATAGCAGGGTACTCAGGAAATGTTTAATAAATAAAAGAATGGAGTTGTTTCTATTGCCAAAGACAAGCCTATCTACTCAGAAAGTTTACCCAGAGACCCTGCCTTCCTAAAGACCAAAGCGGTTGAGAACTAATTGTCCCCATCTCATACTTCTGATTGAAGAAGTGAAGTAAAGATGGAAGAGGTGCAGTAAGACCCACCTACAAAGGAGAACACAGAAATATTTTGTGAGTAATGTGCATACACGTATAGAGCTTAATGGACACCAAGGTTTTCCAAACCCTCTCTATAATTTTGCATTTTGGTAGGAGAAATGCTATCTGTAAGAAGTAGTTTGCAAGATAGCTCTCATTTTTATAAAATCCACACATACCAACAGCAAGACCAGCTAGAGAAGCTGCCCCTACGCAGGACATATCACGGTGGACAGGTCTGTCTATATTCTCATTAATCAGGTCTGAAGTCATCTGCATGATGAAACTATTCTTACAAACTCCTCCATCTGCTCTGTGGAGAGAAAGATATTTGAGATAAATTACTATAACAAAAGCATAAAAACATTATTGATTCTTTTTAAAAGGACCACATGTTTTCTTTAGATCCTTGATTTTATGTTTTAAGTTGAACTATTTAATTCCAAAATTACATCACTTAGCATTACATCACTTGACCTAAAGATAGAGGACCTTACTAGGTAATCTTGAAACATTTTTCCTTATTCCTGTCACCAGTTTCCTCACCTGCCCTGTTTGTCCTGGGACTAGTTCAAAATAGGCCAAGTAAATTTTAAGCCAACATCAAAATTCATTTGGATATTGTAGCCAAGAAAATTTAAAACTTATATGCCAAAAAGACAGCCACACAACCAAAAAGAAAAAGAGATTTTAAAGATTTTTATAATATATACATGGGTGTTAAAGTTCTCCCAAATTGGAGGTGGCACCAACTTCAAATCAGCACTGGAGCTGAGACTTGAATGACAAGGAGCCAGCAATGTGGTTATTACTTGGTGAGCATTTTAGACAGAGGGAGCACCCAGCAATAGCCCTGAAGATGGAAGGCGAAAAGGAAGAGATCTTTGGAAACATGGCGGAGTGAGAGACGTCCCAGATCCCTCCCCTTGAAACAACAATAAGCTGAACATCTAAAATTCAACAAAAAACACTCAAACTGCACACCAGCACTTCTGAGCATGGGATTTGAGCATAAGAGCTACCATGAGACAGAACCCTGGGTGTTGGGCGGTGGACCAGGAGTAATAAAGAAGCTGTCTCTCCCAGCCGCTGGAGCTCCCTGCAGGTGGAGCAGAGGAGAAAAGGAGCAGCGAGTTCCCCGAACAGTCCTGCCTGGGAAAGCTGCAGGGCTCAATCATCAGGGAAGAAAGCAGAGAAGTGGGACAGGACCGCAGAGGAACAACAGTTGATTTTTGCTGGCCATGATTGCAAAACCAAGGCTGAGCCACAGCCCCCGACCCCCTACTATCCCCATACTCTCCAAGACCAATCACTGAGGAACCCTAGGGGATTCTGAGCAAACAATGCCGAGACTGTCACTGACACTGACAGGGACTGAAACTGAGGGTAGTGAGCGTGATTAAAGATCTACAAGGATATTTAAAAAGTGTTATTAAGACTTTATATAAAGTAGGGATCCAAGAGGCTTAGACGCCACCTACTGTAAACCAAAAGAAAAGCGCCTTCTTTGTAGCAGGCTAAAGAGAGTCCTTTATATAATAAATCTTCTTTCTGGAAAAACAGTAAAATACACTTCCAATAATGTCCAGGCGGAGAAATAGTCCATTAAACACCATGAACGACCAAGGTGACATGGCATCTCAGAAAGAGGGGGAAAAATCTCCAGAAAATAAGCTTACAGACATAGAAATATGTGACTTAAATGATAGAGAATTCAGGATGGTACTTCTGAAAAAACTCAATGAGATCCAAAACAACTCAAATCAACAATTTCAGGAATTGAAAAAACAACTAGATGAAGAGAGTGAGGAGATTGAAACCCTCAAAAAAGAACCAAGTAGAACTTCTAGAGATGAAGAACACACAGCAAAAGCTGAAAAATGAAATAGCAAGCTTGGGAAATAGAGTCAACCAAATGCAGGAAAGGATCAGTGATATCAAAGACAGAAATCTAGAAATAAATTAGAAGGAAGAAGTGAAAAACCGAAGAATGAAAAATAATGAAAGAGAAATACAAGAACTAGCTGATACCATCAAGAAAGAGAACATAAGATAATGGGCATTATCGAAGGTGAGGAAAAGGAA